GATATTAATTAATCATTAAAATGCGTGCGTACGTGTACAATACATGTATTATATGTTTGCTTTCATTATACCGAGTCTTGACGACGCATATGAAAAACATAAGTATTATTTGAAAAATACGTACATACGTGTATAATACGAGTATTAAATGGGAAAATGCTAAATTCTTTATAAGGGTAATAACTCTGGAAAAGTAAAAAATCAAAAGGGGACAATAGCTATACCTTGGCAATGGCCTATAAGTAATGGATAATGCTCTAGACTAGTCTAAATACTATTTATTAAGTAATATCATTTATGTTGTTAATTAAAATATTTAATACTAATTATTCACTAGAGAAATAATAGTTATAAAATAATTACTAATGAAAGTAATTAAATTAATTACTGAAAAGAAATTTTAAAAAAATAAAAATTTATTGACCTAAAAATACTAAGTTTATAAATATATATATTTTTAAAACCTCTCCTGACAAAATTTCATCGGCATAGGTCTATGCCGGCAAAAATTTGTCAGATTAGGTTTCTCGCGACAAAATTTCGTCAACAAAGATAATTTCGTCGGGAGAGGTCTATGGACTTGTGCCGACAAAATTTCGTCGGGAAATGTTGTTTATCCTTTTTTTTTTAAATAATAAAAAAATTTGAATTTTAAAAATATAAAATTAGTTTCTTTTTTTTTTTGGCCAACTTCTTTAATTTAATGCATGTAATTAAGTAATACCTTAGCCTTTTTTTAATCACTTTAATTAGTAATTATGTTTTAATTATTATTTCTTTAATGAATATTGAAATATTTTACTGATTTCGTAAATTACTTGGTAAATAGTAATTAATTATTTTTTGAATCATTTTGTGGACTCTGTTTTTTGTTCTTTGATATTAATTAATCATTAAAATACGTGCGTACGTGGACGATACTTGTATTATATGTTTGCTTTCATTATACCATGTCTTGAAGAAGTATACGAAAAACATAAGTATTATTTGAAAAATACATACATACATGTATAATATGAGTATTAAATGGGAAAACGCTAAATTCTTTATACGGCTGTTTTTTGTTCTTTGATATTAATTAATCATTAAAATACGTGCGTACGTGGACGATACTTGTATTATATGTTTGCTTTCATTATACCATGTCTTGAAGAAGTATACGAAAAACATAAGTATTATTTGAAAAATACATACGTACATGTATAATATGAGTATTAAATGGGAAAATGCTAAATTCTTTATACGGGTAATAACTCTTGAAAAGTAAAAAATCAAAAGGGGACAATAGCTATACCTTGGTAATGGCCTAAACGTAATGGGTAATGCTCTAGACTAGTCTAAATACAATTTATTAAGCAATATCATTTATACTGTTAATTAAAATATTTAATACTAATTATTCACTAGAGAAACTAGCCTCTCCGCACGCGCTTCCGCGCCTGCAAGAGGCTTTTTTAAAAAAAAAAATTAAATTTATTTTAGAATTAAAAAAAATAATGGGTAGTTGTGTTCCATAAAAATAGGATTCATTATCGGATTTTTCTTTTAATTTAAATTTTTTTTAATATGAAAAGGTTTGAATTTATCAAATTATCCTCATTTAATTAATAATTTTAATTCTTCATATTTGGATTAACTAAGGGCATTGTCTGGTATTTTGAATGTTTCACCATTCTCTTCCTTTTGCTTTATATATATAGATAATAGTTATAAAATAATTACTAATGAAAGTAATTAAATTAATTACTGAAAATCAATTTTAAAAAAATAAAAATTTATTGACCTAAAGATACTAAGTTTATATATATATTTTTAAAAACCTCTCCCGACGAAATTTCGTCGGCATAGGTCTATGCCGGCAAAGATTTGTCGGATTAGGTTTCTGGCAACAATATTTTGTCGGGAGAGGTCATTTTGTCGGGAAAGGTCTATGGACATGTGCCGACGAAATTTCGTCGGGAAAGGTTGTTTAGCTTTTTTTATTTATTTTAATAATAAAAAATTTTGAATTTAAAAAATATAAAATTAGTTTCTTCTCTGTTTTTTTTTTTGCCAACTTCTTTAATTTAATGCATGTAATTAAGTAATACCTTAGCCTTTTTTAATTACTTTAATTAGTAATTATGTTTTAATTATTATTTCTTTAACGAATATTTAAATATTTTACTGATTTCGTAAATTACTTGGTAAATAGTAATTAATTATTTTTCGAATCATTTGTGGACTCTGCTTTTTGTTCTTTGATATTAATTAATCATTAAAATACGTGCGTACATGGACAATACGTGTAATATACGTTGCTTTCATTATACCATGTCTTGAAGAAGTATACGAAAAACATAAGTATTGTTTGAAAAATACATACGTACGTGTATAATACGAGTATTAAATGGGAAAATGCTAAATTCTTTATACGGGTAATAACTCTTGAAAAGTAAAAAATCAAAAGGGGACAATAGCTATACCTTGGTAATGGCCTAAACG